TTTTGCATTTATTTTATTTATTAAAAATCTAATCGAAACATATAATAAATAAGAAGAAAAAAAAAAAATTTTCAAATTTGTTACGTATAGTCTCGAATGGTTATATATACTATATAATCAACCATTGCTCTTATTTTTTTAAATATAGAACATACGAGAATGTTATGAAATGGTTCGACATATCGCAATAATTTTTTTTTTTTTTTGTAAAATAAAATTAGATTTTTTGTTTGTTTGTTTTTATTTTTTTTTCCTAGAAATAATATTGCATTATAAACTAGTCGTATAAGTTTACAGAATAAAAAATAAATATAAATAAACATTTTTTTTCGTATGTGTGTGAGTGCGCGTGCACTCTCTCAATGCAATTTTTTTTTGCTTATTTATATATACTATTTTTTTTAAAAGTAGTTATTATTATCATTTAACCCAAAAGTTATAAATCTGATTCCTAAACTTTCAATCGAACAAATTTAAATTAATTTTTATATTTTATTTCAGGTGTTTTTCCATCATAGTGCAATTACTTACGAAAAAGTGTTTCATCTTAAAGTCCAAGATGCTGTTATCAATAGAGATAAAAAAAATTAGGCGGTGAGTTTTTTTTAAGTTTAATTACTCTATGAATTAATATCGAATCGTAAACACGTGTTAGACTAAAAAAAAAAGACTTACACTCTCAATTTTCGATTAATACTTAAAAAAATATATTTAAAAAAAAAAAATTACTCCGAATGAGCCCCATTATTATTATTATTATTAAAGGTATAACGTACGTAACAATTCAAATTCGTTTTTTTTTTTTTTTTTTTTAATTATAATAAAAAAAATGATTATTTAAAATAATAATATTATATTTGAAAGAAAAATTGTGATTCAAATCCGTTGCGTCTCTTCTCTTTTTAAAATGAGGACATCAGACTTTTGGCAAAGATTTATATGAAAAAAAAAAAAAAAAAAAAGAAATTATATTTAAAAAAAAAAAAAAAAAACAAAAAATTATAAATTTTGTCGGATGAATCGTTTTCTTATTAAAAACACCATCCATATGGACCCCCCTTGCTTCTCATCTCATTTTATTTAAATCCGTGTTTATTCAATTTGGATTCTATCAATTTCTCTTATTATAATTTCATATTATAAACTCGGAAGTTTTATTATTATTATTATTTTCATTTGATTTATTTTTAATTAAAAAAAAAAAAAAAAATTTTTAATTTCAAACGAAATTTGATAAAAAGAAAATCGAGTTTTTATTTG